ATAAATCTTAGTGAGTTCCCCAAATGCCACATAGCATACATACAATGGCCCTTGCCCTGCATCGGGCCCTGTCTGGTATAGATCTGTCAGTAACATGTGATGGGCCCCGCCCAACACATTCATCAGCCCCCGCCTGACATCAGACCCCGCCCAGTATACATACAAACATATACAATACATGCAAGATTCATACAGACAGCTAGCATCCTATAAACATAATCAATGGTCCAGCATTGGTCCCTTTGACTTGTAAATACTGTGAGGAGACTCACCTCAACCGATGCCAACAATTCATACACTCGAGTTGCTGCTACCACGACTTTTCACACTGAACATATCCAAGATCAATCCTAATCAATAATTAGGTTAATAACCCATAATCAAAGGTCCAATCATACTCTATTATGCTAAGGGGTAAAATACTATTTTACCCTTCCCATACTTGGCCCAACAAATCATCACCCAAACCTAAAAATGACCCAAAGCCCAAAATGGCCCATAAGGGCTTCTGGTGAGTACGCCCCGCGTACCACCACTATAAGCCCAACATATTGCGTGTTTGAAGAGAGGGTAACGTGTTGAAACCTGTTACACATAGCATACCAGGAGGGTACGCCTAGTGTAACTCAGTGTTGCCTAAACTCAACTTTAAGCTCTTAATGCTCACGACCAAAATCATAGATATAACTCTAAGGGACATCTTAAGTCATAAAGTTCCTGACTTTATGACTTTTCACGGCTTAATGGAGTCCAAACCAAACCCTATATTCATAACCTCACCAAAAGACCACGAACTCATGCATGGAAGAGATATAACCATCAAGATTCGATTTTTATGACTTATAGACCTCAAAAATGACTAGAAATGAGGCTCAAAGGTTATGGAGTAACTTTTACTCACAAGATCCAAGCCATAGGACCAAAACATGCTCATAAAATATCCTAAAACTAGATCTACATAAAAGAACCATCAAGATTGAAGCTTTATACCTCCAGACGAAAGATCAAGGTGAACAAGGTCTAGATCTACAAGCTCCAATCCAACCAACACTTCTCCAATGAGCTCCTTCTTCTCCAATATGCACCAATAACACTTCAAATCACTAATATGGCTCAAGAATCTCACAAATGGGGCTATGGTTTCGAGGGAACTGCTTTAGAGGATGGAGGTCAAACATAAGAAGGGTTTCTAATAAGTTAAGGTCGTTAAATAGGGTCCAAGACCCAAAAAATTAGGGTTTGACCCTGCCTCGCGTACGTCCAACCTACCAGAGAGAACATCGCGACCAACTTAAGCCAAGTATGCCCAGCGTACATGCCACGTACGCCCATCGTACAGGGCAAAACACACTCCTATTCTAACTTCCGAAGGCCATAACTTATTTGTCCCAATTCCATTTTTGGGGTTCTTTATATGATCGGAAAGGTAATGAAAAACCTTATAATCCCAACTAATCTCCTTTGACTTAAAACATTGGGAACTAGAATCCTTAATTCCAAAAAAGTTATGAAGCATCACTTTTACCATTATACCCTTGGGCTCCCAAAACACAAACCAAAAGCTTGGATAACACAACATATATATATATATATATATATATATATATATATATATATATATATATATATATATATATATATTCCACACCTAATTGGGTCTAACACACAAACCCTATGGAGTCCATGGCCCTAACTTGATCCATTTAATGCCCATAATACTCGAAATAGGAAGTTTCTCGAAATTGGATGTTACATTATGCTAATTGCAAGTAGTCATAAGACCCACTAATGTGACATTGAATTAGGTCATCGGGTCTTGCTATCATATCTGGAATATATGTCATTAGCGGATTCCTGACTTGATTCCTAGCTGACATCAGAGAACTAGACCTGGCAATGGAGCGAGTTTTGACCTTGATCCGATCCAAACCCTTAAGAATTATATGGGTTTGGAGCATAGTTTTTGATCGCTTACCCGTTAATGACCCGTACCCTCTAATCCTTTTATTAAAAGGGTCGGGTATGGATCATCATCGATCTGCTCCGTTTAGAACCCGCCCCGTATAAATTTTAGAATTGTATGTTTATATTTTATACTGTCTATAGTTTAGTTTTAATTCCAATCGAAAGTACAAAGGGCAAAGGCCAAAGACCAAACTGTTTTTACATAGGACTCGAAGAGTCGACTTCTAGAATTATAGGCTTCTACCAAGAATCATGATGTCATTTAATTTATATTTCATCAGGCAATCACTAATTACATTTATAAATCAATAAAATCATTTATCAACCGGAAGAAATTTTGCAATTGTTATTCTCTATCACTGAATTTGACAGTCAAAATCAATCAAAAGATAGTGATTTTAATTCCAATCAAAAGTCTTCAAGTACGTAATGCATTTTCTAAACCAACATTTGTTTTATTTAAGAAATGTTGTTTTAAGAATTTAGTAAAATATGTTTGATTATTCAAAAAACCTACGGGTTGTGGGCAGATTTGGATATATGTTGATTCAGTGGATAATGGTATGTGTTTGATTATTCAAAACCATTTGGGTTACGGAGCGGGTTTGGATCGAATTTTGAAATTTGTTAAACGAGTTTGGATTAAGGTCAATTCGCTCCAAACCCACCTTATTGTCAGGTCTACAAAGAACAAAATCGTTAGAACCATCTCATGAATGTCCCCTAGGAGCAGGTTCCGACATTCAGGTTATATCGATGTGTGTGAAGAGATGGTTTCTCCTAGATGGAGAACCATATTGGTGTGAAGTGTGTGTGTGTGTGTGTGTGTGTGTATAACGGAGGCTCGTATTTGAGAATGAGAGATCCTCCTGATGGAGGAGGATGTGTTCCATTTATAAATCTAGGTCAATGGACAGTTATGTTAGGCTTGGGCCAGCCCAGATCAGGCTCAACTAGTCCTAGATAGTCGTGGGCTAGGTTGTGATGTCTTGTCTCTAAAGCGTACACAACCCAACCTCTTAAGCGCACACAACCTAGCCCTTGACTTGCTGGGCCTAAACTGGGTTGGCCCAAGACCTAACCATCTCCTCATACATATTGATTTAACTTGATCGTCAGAGTCTGCTCCCTAGTTACAGTCCTTGAGGCGGTCTAATGGTTTTGTTCTCTGATGGCAGCTAGGAATCAAGTCAGGAACTCACTAACGACATCTACTTTAGATCTAAAGTCCAGATCTGACACCAAGACCCGATGACCCGGTTCCATGTCACATCAGTGTGTCTTATGACTACTTGCACTTAGCATAAAGAACCTAATATTACCATAACGGGTAAGGAACTTTGGTTTTTGTCCATATTTAGGTAACCATGTTTTTTCGTACACAATTCAGCACTAAACTTGTTTGACATGTTCATAATATGGTACTATCACCGTTAATTACCAGTCATATTACCATAATTTGAACATGTCAAACAAGTTTAATGATCAAACATGTACGAAAAAAATATGGTTACCTAAATGTGGACAAAAACCAAATTTCGTTACCCTTTTAGGTCATTAACCATTTTTTCATTTTTTTTTTTTTTTGCAATTCTCTTTGATATGTCATACCCAATGCACATGTGAAATTTGATAACAAAATTACATGTAGATGAAAAAAAAGTTTATTGTTTGGTTCTCTCTGTGTGTGTATATATATATATATATATATATATATATATATATATATATATATATATATATATATATATATATATATATATATGTGTGTGTATTTTAAATAGTACAATGACATGTGAGCTACTCCCTCCGAAGTCTCATCCCATGTTTTCTGATCATGTCACAGTAAGAATATATCACTAAAATACAAAAAACAGATAAAACATATATCTATAATGGATTAAAATACATGTTTTAAATATTGTTAAAACGACTATTAATTGAATTTTAAAAAATGACTTAAGAAAATATTAAAAGTACAAAGATAAATCAAAATGATTCTGACACGACAAATATAAAAATAGATAGACGTAATGTTTTATTCTTTTACTGCTCTTCCAAAAAAATAATAAATACAAAAAATACTTACAATGATTTTAAATACAACATAATATATTTTTAAATAATTTAAAATGTCATATGATTGCTCGAAGTATCATTTAAAAATAAATGTAATATTTGTCAGGACATAGAAGCCATGATAATGATGTATGAACTTTTATATATTAATTCACAAATGTGTAAATCATAACAATGACGTGAGAACTACTTTCCAAACCCAAAATTATTTTCAATTTTTTATTCTTAAATGGCTAGTATTTGTAAAACTATTGTATCAATGGTATTATTTCAGTTAGAGTTTGACTTATAAAATGATCACTGCGTTACATTATCAACACGAGTAATAAATCGACTATTTTGCATTGCTTTAATCAAAACTACTATGAGAATAAAGTGTTTGTAACTAAAATAAACATATACTAAGAGCATGTTTCACATTGAATTTCTTAAAAGTTTCGAGAGCTTTTATCAGCTTTTATGTAGTTACACGGCTTTCAAAATTTTACAGAACAAATAAAATATAGAGCTTCAAGTTTCAAAGTAACAAGCAAACATATGCGTAGGTGGATGCTATCAGTGATTGTGTCACCATGTGACAAAGCTTACGCAACTATATAAAGGCAATCCAAAAAAGTCTTTATTGTATGTGTTGACAATTCTTGTTTACCCAGCCCCCAAAAGGATAATTTTTAAGACTAAATCAAGGGTCTCTTTGGAAACAAGTAAATTACATTCTAGAAATTCTCTTTATTACATTTACATTACCTTCCACCATTTATAGCATACACAATTTGACCATGTAAGTTAGAAAATCAAAAATTTCTTGAAATTCTTTCTAGAAATCTATTAGACATTGAAGTTATCAATACATGTTGCTTAGGCCTGTTTTTCTTTGTCTTGTTTAGTGCCATCGATATAAAGTGCCACATTAAAAAAAAATAAAAAAAAAAAAAAAAAAAAAAAAAAAAAATCTTAAGAAAATGACTAATAGGTTTGAGGAAAAAAAAATCGGGACAAAAATTTATAATTCTTTCCCCTCAACTACATCAGCTATAAAAATGCTGCCAGAATCACACCATCCTCCCAAAACATCCTTGCTCCGACACTGCAATATAGTTTACCAGATTAAGTCATGTTCCATTAAGTAAAAAATAAACAGTAACATTTTTTATTTATTTAGTGGGTCCCTATAAAGAGAATGTGAGAAAATAATATTACCTTACTAAACCCAAGCCAATTGGAATCTCCTCTAAATGAAAATGCTTTCTTGTTTTCTTTCCACTCTCCACAAAAATACCTTCAAAATTGCTCATATTAGTTTAAAAGGATATAAGGCCACGTGTCACAAACCTATAAATTTATTTTTTAAAGTTGAAGTAATCACCTCATAATCAACTCCTTGTATGTAGACATAACTAGGGTCAACCGAAGAGAAAGAAATCCCAGTGATCTGAAAATAAAAAAAAAATAAAAAAAATTATTAATGTTTAAGAAATAAAGTTGTTAATAAGCTTTTGATGAAAATTGAAAAGGGACCTCGTATTTTGAGCAGTTGACCCATCTTGCTACAGCTGCCCATCTACATTAGTAAAATTAAGATGCTATAAAATATAAATAATAAAAAAAATGAAAACGAAAATGAAAAATGAAAGTACATTGCTATTTATTGCATTTAACCAGACCTGCGAGGATCATAGACGGTCATGGTACGATCGGATCCGCCAACTGCAATACTACCGGTCGAGGAGTTGCAAACCGCGTATAAAATATCTCCAACAGAACCACAAATCCGTTGTACACAACCACCTTTTTCGTTTACTCTCAGGTCCCATATTGACAGCTGGCATTACATAACAAATATTGATTATGAATTAAGGTTAAATGCAAGAAATAGCAATATAAATGAAAGTACATTGTTATTTCTTGCATTAATTAGCAATATAAATTATCATTAAAACTCCGGACCACACACACACACAAAAAAAAGTAGCTTACCTGGCAGCCTTCTGTAACAGCCAATACTGAAGTTTCATTTCCAGTTTTGTAAAAAGTCAACGGCAGTAGGGTACCACAATCTGCAATAAAGGGTGCAATGGGGCCAGTTAATTTACTTTCTTGTTTACATTTTGTGGGCCCGAGAGATTCTTTTTCAATCTACCTCTGGAATAAAGGTTGGTTGGTATTTTAACTAAAGTAAATATTTCTTTTATGTAGCATGCACCAAAGTGCAACAAAAGAGAAAAAGGTATAAAAAAAAAAGGAAGAATAAGTGACATATAAATTATTATTTAAAAACTGAGGAACCCAAATAAATATAAAATACTTACGTACGAAAAGTGCGAAGATGAAGATCTTGGTCAAATACATCAATAGTTTTGCCAAAGCTATGTGCAACAGCAGTCTGAAATAATAGATGCAACTTAGAAAATTCTAAATATTGCAAACTACATGATAAATTTACTGATACATGAAGTTGAGTTATGTAATAAGAATCATTGACCATGACAATCATGAGGATTCAAAAAAATCTATGATCAAGGTCTTACACATGAATTTGCAACGTAATAAATAATTCAAGTGTCTTTTAATGTGAGAATTATAAATGTATAAAATATTAAAATAAAAACATTTGACATAAATAATGATATATATCAAATGAGTCAAAGGGTAAAACTTAGAATATTCACTCAATGTTATGCCAAAATGTTTCCCTATTACACACAGCTTGTGAGGTTTTCAACTCACTGACTTCAATATATCAAATGAGTCAAAAGGTAAGACTTAGAATATTCAATGTAGAAAGTCACCACTTCAAACATGCTGCTTGCATGATGAATATGATGACTATTGACTTTGACTTTCAAATATAACATTATTCATTTACGAGTGGAAAGAAGTAAAGAGTCTTTATAATGGCAACTATTGAGTAGGAATCAACTGAACAGAATGCTTTGATTGTCATACTACAAGTGGAAAGTAGAAAGATTTCATTAAGTTATATGAGTTGGCAAATAATGAATTCCCAAGTCAATATGTGCCTTCATTCTTATTGGTCAACAACCTAGAAGACTAGCCAGCCTAGTAGTGGTCTAAGATTTTCTGTGTTTGACTTTTAGTCAAATGATAAATAGGCCATTGAGAGAAGCAGTTAATTGAGTAAAAGATTGGACTATGTTAAATTCCATGAAAGATCAAAATAATTTTGACTAATTAGACATGTACCGTTGACCATTGACTTGGACTAAAGCAAAGCCCTGCCCACCCACCTTCTCCAACTCCAAAATCCTGAGGTGATACTGAAAATGTAAGCCTTTCCACATCTGAAAATGTAGAAAAACAAAAAGTTGATAAATTTAGTGACATGAATGTTAAGAAAGTTAAACAATTCAATAGCAAAAATATAAAAAAGAACAAAAAAAAAATGGTACCTTTACCATCAGTGCCCAATCTGGAAACTATGAGATGTCCATATGAGTCAACACTTCCCAATATTAAGCAGTCAGAGCCTACAGATGTTGGATCACATAATATGATAAATATTACACACAGTGAAATTAAACATTAACATTTAGGCGCCACATTACAAATAAATTAGACTAAATTACATTATTGTCCCTTGGTAAGTCAAAAATTATGGATTGTGTCTCAATAATGATTAATGAAATCAAACATTAGCTTGCAAAATGAGTAAAAAATGATCAATAATTCACATAAATTAAGAGTTATATGACACATACTCTCAGTTTCATTCAATACAATCGTCTGAATTTCTGACCGATGAGGGCAACGATTCACTATAGCAGACTCCACAACCTTCCAAAATTAAGATTTCATACAGCACATCAATACAGATTAATCAAACATTCAAAGTTACACCAATTTAAAGGTGGGGCTAAGGCAAAATGGAGCACAATTGGACTACTTTAATAACAACAAGACCATGTCAAAGCTTACCTGAGTTTGTTCAGGTATAAGGAGGCTATCCTTTCCTTTATCAACTAAAGAATCTCCCAAAGAGACCTATAAAAAAATAATAATAAACTTGCATGTGAGAAAATAGCAAATATGGCATCCATTTCAATCTTTGGGCAAGAATCTGTATAAGTTGCCTAATACCAGCCCTAATATGCATAAACCAAATGCCAACTTCAAGTAAGTAAATAAGGAAACAAACTGGAGGAAGAGAAAACCAGAATTCTGTAGATATGGCAGCCAGAAGCAACATAAATCCAGCAAGAAGCTCCGTCGTCACTAACCTGAACATGATTAATTTAAATTAGCAAAAATAAAACGGCTTATATTGCAAGTGTTAGAGCTTTAGTTACTATATCGGACCAAGAAGACATGAAATTACATACTAGAAATATATATGAGAATAGTGGAATTGAGACATATAAATTACATGAAGGGAAAGGCGATTGGATTGAAGATTGGCAGGAGATGGGTACTCTATCAGTCTCGATGGAACCACTGCTTTCTTTAGACTTCGAGCCTCCAACATCTCTACTTTAATCTTAAAATCTTCTGGTTTTCGCCGGCAGCAAAGCAACAGGGAGAAGGCTTTTGCACAGAATTCTTCCCTCTTTTCACAATTTAATTTGGGATGTTCATTGCCCACCAGAAGCTTTCCGTATTTCTACACTGGCCACCAAAAACTTTCCATCTTTCCAATTTGGCCACCAATCATCTTATAAGCTAGTTCCAAACTCCGAACACGGTCGGAACCAAAACCGAAAAAGCCCAAAGCAAGAACCATGGACCGAAATATCTAATAATAAATTAAAAATCGATTATTTAATAAATAAAGTATAAAAATACTAGAAATTATCTCTAGTCATCCAACAAAGATAAGAAACGCAACGAGTTTTGTTTCCAAGATGTCATTGTAAGGAACTTTAAGCTCATTCAAATACATTTTTAACTCAAACATCCATTGAAACCGAATGGTTACTTCAACGTTTGGGAAATCACATAAAAACTCGTTAGACCGGTGGGAGAGGCTACGGTCTCTACCACACCACCCCTCCACCACGGTTTGGGTGCGATAGAGGTCGCACTGCGGTACCCTAAGGGAGCGCTCATCTGCTCTATTTTCCAAATATTGACTGTTGTGAACGGTCGAAATTAATTTTTTTTTTTCCTTTTTCCTTTTTGACATTTACCGATTCTTATTTAAGCCTCTCAAGCCTTACAATTTTTTAACCAAACTAAATCAAAAATACTTCATATTTTACCATCTTTTTGTTTCTAAAACCTTTGAAAATGTCATTCTTCAAAAAACTAGTTTTTTTCCAAGTTTTTTAATCGTTTGATGTGTGCTTTTCTTAAGTTGTAGGCTTAATATTTATAGTTTGTTTTTCTAAATTTTTAGTTTTTTTTAGGTTATGCAATGTAACTGTACTTTTATTTTTAATTAATAAAATAACATCTTTTTTAAAAAAAAGTTTTTATTAGAAAAAAAAGAAAAAATAAAGCTCAAGTTTGACACCACTCCTTAGGTGTGGCAACAAATCACATTTTTGTGATAAAAAATAAAAACACATGTGACGCCTACGTGGCAGTGTGTTTCATGAGAGAGTGTGACACCACTCCCTCAAGCCTTATCAACATCACAAGTCACTACTTCATGTTTTTTCTATTTGAAACGGTGTATGATTTTGAATTTTTCTTTGTAAGTTATAAATAAAAGCTCTATTTTCTTTTCAACCTCCTGAAGCATGGATGTTGTCTTCAATTGTATTGTTGAATTTAACATCGAGTTTTCTTCCGTTACCTTGTACGAGATCATCTTCTTAAAGACATGTGCCACAAATTGTGATTTAAATTGTTGATCCAACAACACCAAGAAGTACATGTAATCGTTGAGCTTGTCAAATGGACTACAATACTTGTCATAATTCGATTGCATTTCTAGACGTATGCGACAAAAGTCCCGTTTTGTTGACCGATCTCTTATGTTTTAGTTGACATCTAAAATTTTTTGTAAAAACACATGGGCCAACGGTTTTGATGTTGATGATACAATATTTGTTTTTGTCTTGAATTTCAAGAAACCCCACCATGTCTTTTATGACATCAAAATTTGAGTGCTTTGGAACTATATCTAGATCACGTGTATATAAAATACCTACCAAAAAAACATAAAACTTATTAATAAATAAAAGAATAATAATCAAAGTTTTTTTTAAAATCAAAATTTATTACCTTGAACTTCATATTCGACAAACGCCTCTCTTTGTTATAAGGCGGTTTTCAACAACTCGTAAATGGAATTACATCTCGTAGGACAATCACGGCACAAAACTTCTTCAATTCTAATCCACATTCTTTCATATATTTTTTAGACTTTGTATTTCTTTTGGTAGATTATTTTATGTATCTCTAACGACTTTGTGCCCACATTTCATATGATAGTTGTGTCTTTTTAATCCACCTTTGACAATAAGGTTCAAGATATGAGCAATGCACTTTATGTGGAAATATTGTCCACCATCATACCAGTTAGGTGATTTTCGTTACAATGATAAATGTAACTTTATACCGTTTTGATAGATATATAGAACGAACAACATGTTCGAAAATCGTCACAAAGAACAAATTTGAAACTCATTGTAGTTCGAAACGTTCTAAGAGTTTTGAAGTACCTTTTGTCAATTAAAATAGTTTCGAACTAAAACATGTTTAAACTCAACAATATCAAATTTTACCAAGTTTCAAACTTGGTTGTTATTTATGAAATTGTAAAAAATCCAGTCATTTTGTTATAAGATATTTACAAAAAAAATGGTTGTTTTTTATTTATTAGGGATAAAAATGATATTGATTGGTTATTGTTAGGCTTCGCAAAAACGTTTGTGTCGTGTCAAGTTTGTATCTTGGTGAAAGTTAAATAGGTTTGAAAAGTTTTACCCTAATCTTATCCGTTTAATTTTTGTGTCGTATAATTTCAACATGTCTAGTTTAAGTTAAACAGTTTGAAAGCACTTACCCAAACGTGTTTATGTTATGTCGAGAGGTTATGGATTCAGGGTTTAGATCTTGAAAACATGATATGTGTGGAAGTACTTATCTTCATATTCATATTGTTTAGATATGTGTTTATCTCACTTATCTTCAGATTCATATTGTTTAGATATGTGTTTATCTCTTTTTCAAATTAGTCGTTATCTTTAGCTTATTATATAAACAATTGTAATTGTTTTTTTTCTGATGAATGAAAATAGCGTAACACTTCCATAATTCTTTTCTATCAAATTTCACATGGTATCAAAGCAGGTCTGAAACCCTAGCCGAAATTACCTAATCCATGACAGGCTCTGTTGATGCGTCTTCAACAAAGACACATATTGATATCATGTCTCCCTTCTTCCTCACTCATGTTGATCATCCGGGCCAAAATTCAGTTGAAGAAACGAGATGACAAATGCAATGTTTTCCAAAAACAAGATGGGTTTCGTTGATGGCACAATGTCGATGCCAAAAGAAGATTATGATGAGCTGATGAATAGGAGGAGATGCAACGCAATAGTTCGAGGATGGCTGGTGAGTTCAGTGGAGAAAGAGATCAAGAGCAGTGTCAAGTATGTAACCATTACATGTGACATTTGGGTGGATCTTGAAGAATGTTTTGGAAAAGAAAAATGCCCCCAGAGCAAACGAACTGAGAAGAACCGTCACCACCATACAACAAGGAGATATGTCTATATTTGCATACTACACAAAGCTTAGGAATGTATGGGATGGAATACAATCTATAAGTCTTACACCCTCTTGTGTTTGTAGAGGCTGCAAGTGTGACGTCGACAAGGAGTTCATGAAGATTCGAGAAAAATAAAAATAAAGGTTATACGACTTTCTATTGGGACTGAACGATGAATATAGCGCTGTCAAGACACAAATCTTGAGTTCTACTCATTTACCAGCTCTTGGCATTGCCTGCCATCTAGTCAGCCAAGATGGACAACAATGAATTATTAGGATGAATCGAAATTCCGGTGGCGATGCAGCAGCCTTTCAAACTTCTGGAAAAGTTGGTCCTAAACCCCAAAGAAAAGAGATCTCGCAAAACTTAACCAAGAAAAAGAATAAAGATCTTTGGTGCACGAATTGCTAGAAATCTGGTCACATCATGGATGGTTGCTTTGAAATTATTGGCTATCCAGAGTGGTGGAACCCAAAACAGGCCAAACCTCAAGGCAACAAGCAAAAAACACCATCAAAGGCTGCCACTGCAATAGCCGATAGCAGTGTTGCACTGGGGATAACAAAAGATGAATATGAAGCCCTTCTTAAACTGTTGCGGGCTAATCAAGTCACAGAAAACAACAAAAGGGCATCTCCCACCGCCAACATGACAGGTAAAATCACTAAAGCTAAAAATTCTTGGATTATAGATTATGGGGCTAGTGATCATGTTACACATCGGGAAAATTGGTTACAAAATGTTAAAACCAAAAGTGATTATACGCCAACGACTATCCCCAATGGTGATACATTAGATGTTAAAAGGGTTGGTGATATACATTTGTCTAAAGGTTTTAGCCTCAAGGATGTTTTAAGTGTGTCAGATTTTAACTACAACTTATTGTCGGTCAGTAAGATTACATGAGATCTAAATTGCTCTTTAGCTTTCCGGACAAATGTTTTGTAGAGGACTTACCTTCGAAGAACCTGATTGGGATGGGTAGAGAAAGGGATGATATATACTACCTTGAACCATACAAACAAAACGAAGTGGTCATGGCAGTATGGACTAAAACTAAAATATGGCATAAGAGATTAGAACATGCTTATGATGGAGTCCTTAAGAAGATCCAACATTTAGAAAATATAAACACTAGTAGTCATTTTTGTGATTCGTGTATTCGTGCAAAACAAAGTATATTACCTTTTCCCATAAGCTTTGCTAAAGCTTCTAGTTGGTTTGACTTAATTCATGTTGATATTTGGGGTCGTTATAGACATGCTTCTATTGATGATGCACATTATTTCTTGTCTATTGTTGATGATTTTAGTCGTGGTGTTTGGGTATATCTTATAAAAACTAAATCTGGAGCAACATATTTTTTAGTTATGTTTTACAAGATGGTGGAAACCCATTTTGGAAAACGGGTGAACTGATAATGGATCTGAGTTTAGATCTCAACACATGTTGGACTTTTATATGAAGCATGGAATCTTGCTTGAAATATTTTGCCCATACACGCCACAACAGAACGGAGTTGTCGAGAGAAAACATCGATATTTTCTTGAAATGGCTAGAGCTCTCCGGTTCCAAGCTTCTCTTCCAATCGAGTTTTGGGGCGAGTTTTTGGATGCTTAGCTTACGCTCATGACAATGTTGGTAAGGCAAATAAGTTCCAAGAAAGAGGGAGAGCATGTGTATTTCTTGGATATCATAATGGAAAAGGGGTACAAGTTATGATTTGAAGAATCATTGTCACAACTAGGAATTTTGATACTTCGTAACAACAACAATGATAACATTTGTGAACCAAAATGTGAAAGCATGTATGATGCTTATTCAATAACAACAAAATTTCCATCAAACACTCTGTACAAGCACTTCAAATAGACAACAAAGAATTGGCAACC